TCCATTGAATGATAATGTATTGTTACTTTATTCGTAATACCCTGTTTCATATTCCTTTGGGAGAGTGGTAGCAAAAATTCAGTCCGGTGTAGAGGAAAAATTCTTTTAAGGCGAGGTCGAGTGAAACTTATTAGTGTCATAAGGACTTCAAATTATATGGAAGTTATATGACCTTAAAACGAAATAGGGGGAATACATCTCATATAACTGATTTATTATAAGTCTCGAAACTCTACTTATACGAAATATATATGGAAGTTGCTTGGCCTTGCTTTCTCAACATAGTCATATATGTAGGAAGACCTAGAGGAATGAACCTTGTCCGGAGTCCATATTATGCATGCTAATTTCCAGAGTCGGACCGTGGACTTGGTACATTCCCAGCCGCTTCGCCGGTATCGTAGTCGGCATCGTCAGTAAGCCTATCATTCTTAGCACTACACTACAACTCGTCAAAGAGACAAGTTAAGTCGATCCTTTGTCCATTTCTGTACTAAACAGTTGTGTTATCTCTCCTTCTGTCCTGGGCTATCACTTATCCTATATCCATGTATCACCCCTTCAATACCACAATGTTCTATTTGTTTATCTAGACCTATTTGAAATCTATTTACACTCCCCGCTGGTTTCCTCATCCCTCCCACTATGCCGGGAGTGTTGATCCAACGTTGCGGTTTAAACCTAAATCCTCTCTCTTCGGTTCCCATCAGAGTCCCCATTTGCTCCGAAGGATGCTTCCCTTATCTGCATGTTTAAGTGATTTCACTCCATCGTTGCCACCGTATCCGTGCTACTTAAAAGTAATATGTTCTACACTCTGCCTTAAGCCTTTGATAGCACGTACACATCAGCTTCACTGAGCAAGGCCCTAAAGTCTGGATTCTCAATTGGCATGGCAACCTAACTTGACGCTGTAGCTTCCCTTATCGCTGTGCGGCATGTGCACCGAGTAAATCTCGTGGTCAAAGCTCTACTTTATGGAACACGTCTATGAGCAAATTTATCAACTAATTGCTAACTAGAATTGGCCACCACCATTTCTCTCGCTTTTCTATCCTTACTGCCAAGTCTATGACTTTCTCTTGTGTGCCGACTCCCAAATGCGATCGTTCTACTTGAAATGAATAGGCTGTAGACGTATTCCTTTGGTTTCCGATTGTTCCTCTCTTGTCTCCTTGTAATTTCTTTTCCTAAAATTAAAAAGATTACCTTTATCCAGTCGTCTTCTTTTTGCTGATATTGATGTTTCCTGATCTTCTCCAAATTTGCTTAGGCAGTATGCCTTCCTCAAATCTCCTCTTCATCAGATTTCTTTCAGTCAGGATATCGATAGCTCCTCTTATCTTGCATTTTATTGTTTTTCCACCGTATGCAGCCAGCCTTTCTGTCGATTTCCATTCAATTTCTTGTTCCGTACGTGCCATGTATTCCGCTATTTCGGATCTTTTAGTGTCCATGCTTCTGCAGAGTCTTCGGTGTTCTTTGATTCATAGGCTGATTTTTGTTCCTGGTTTATCAATATACTTCTGCTCACAGTTGCCGCATTTGATGCTATAGACTCCCGAGCAATCAAGTTTATCAGCCTTCTCGTGTTGCGTCGACGGGGTTGTGAAGGGTGATGTCTTTTCCTTAGTTATCACCTTGATATTTCATTTGTTTAGCAACGGTCGCAATTTAGGGCTTAGTTCACAGGAGGACAGGCATATCCACTCTTAGTCGTACTCCCGAGTTCTGATCTTATTTTCATACAAGCCTGCTCTTTGTAAAGCCTATATTTCTTTCTATAAATTCACTGGGGTACCCGTTACTAATGCAAATCTAAGTTAGTTTCTCCAACTCCTCGTTCCGGAACTCACTTTCCGTTAGTCTTAAGCTTGCGATAATCATAGTCCTCATTATTTTGATGAGACTGGAAATTGAGGATTATTACTGCATGTTATTTCATTCTGAATAGTCTCCTCTTGGATATTCCGTTGGAGCGAATGACTTCAACATCCAGGAATAGTAGTCGTTTATTCTCCTCCATCTTCATTGTGAATTTAATCCTTACATTAAGTTGGTTTATAATATTGAGGTACAGATTGGAAAAATTGGAGAAGGAATTAGAGAAGTCACCTTTGTAACCAAGAGTGTTTATGAAATAGCTTGATGACTACTTTGCCCTTTGGTCGTATGGTAAGAAAAATTTGGATGAGTTACTTAATTTTATAAACCAACATGATGGCAGAATTAAATTCACAATGGAGGTGGAAGAGGATAAACGACTATTCTTCCTGTATGTTTAGTTTATTCGCTTCAACGCAATACTCAAGATGAGACTATTCAGAAAGAAATAACATGCGGGAATAATTCTTCATTTCCAGTCTCATCACAACTACAGATTTAAGATCGGAATGATGAGGAGTGGAATCATCAGAAGCTTGGAATGTACACAGTTCATGGTCCGACTCTGGAAATTATCTTGCGTACTATTGTCTCCGGACAAAGTGCGTTCCTCTAGATCTTTTTACCAATAAGACCAAGTTGTGAAACCAAGGTCAAACCACTTCTATACAGCGAAAGGAGACCGTGACCATACAAAAGGACACACTATTCTGATCTTCATACCTTCGATTCAAATTATATGCTTTATAGAAATTCGGCTAAAACTCATATCATTTTAAGTAGCGTAGGCAGATTGATGTTCTTTTAAAATGTATTGCACTTACTTCTCTTAACGAGAAGTGACCCTATGAGACAGCATCTTTTTACAAAGTACACGATATATGACATCTCGATCTTCAAGCTCGATCACGAGACCCAAGATATTTGATATTATCTTCTTTGTAATTTTATGTTCATATCCTGTTCTCCTATCAAGAAGAGTCCCATATAGGTGATCAAATTCCTCAAATAGAGCATAAATTAGGCAATGGCAACTAGTATATAAGGGGTATTCATCCTATTTCGTTTAAGGTGATATGGGGACGGTTACGGGTGCTGATCAGAGGTAAGCGAGATCTCAGTCACCTTATCACATTAAACGAAATAGAGTGAATACATTTCATATATGTGATCTACTGGTAGTTTGGAAAACCTACTTGTAAACGAAAAATGGTAACAATTACCCGACTGCAATGAACCTGTGCATCAGATTTAAAAAGTATTTATGTGAAATCTATGTCAGGGTCTTATGAATTTCGTTAAATTGGCTTTCTCTGAAGGACATGCCCTACGCTCCCAGAGTTCAGGCATGGTCATGTGAAATGTTTTTATAGGGATTTAATAGTTTGGCACAAGAACATGGACACTCCTAAAAGTAAGCTAAACTTTCTAAGTGAAGTGAGTTGCTAATGACCTCTAGTATAATTCGAGCTAGCCATTTTATAAAGCTGCTTTCATTGAGAATTAAAGGATTCATTTGTACATGACTCCAGAATCCAATTGTTGAGATGCGCCTCTATGAACAAATGGCAATGCTCAGTCCTGTGATGGCTTTCTCCTGGTCCCGCTGGAATCATGAATGCAATGACCGCGAAAGTGTCATCCTTTGCGCGGTGGGCCACCTTGACATGGCTGGTCCTGTCGACGAGGTAAACAGTTTTCAATTAAACTTTTTTTTCAATTCTTAATTAGTTTATGCAAGTGGAAAAAATAGCAATGCCAAGTTTTCTTTTTGAATTATCAGCATTCTGTTTTTTTTATAATTTACTAAGTGCATGAAATTTCCCATGGCCTTATGAATAACC